CAGCAGCAGCAGCAGCAGCAGCAGCAGCAGATGCTGCTCTTGCTCTACTTGACACATTTTTTAATAATTTGAGTTCTTTCTAGCCAACTCCTGCAGACAGCAGCCAGACGCTAGCTAGCTAGTTAGCCAGTGGCTAGCTAGCTACACAGCCAGCTGATCAACCAAGGGCAGCTAGCCAGCTAGCTAGCTAGCTAGCTAGCCAGCTAGCTAGCCAGCTAGCTAGCTAGCTAGTTAGCTAGCTAGCTAGTTAGCTACATGGATGGAATGGCCTGCCATCTTGCTGACTGGCCAGCAGCCAGCTAGCTGTCGACCCAACCAGCTAGCTAGCTAGCTAAATAGCTTGCTAGCCACTGGGCTGTTAGCCTAGCTAGCTAGCTGGATAGCTATCTAGCTAGCCGTAGCTGGCGCAGCGAGCCAGCTAGCTAGCTACGCAGCTAGCTCCCTGTCGAACTGGCCCTCCGTCCGCTAACTAGCTAGCTAGCTAGCTAGCTGTCCAGCCAGCTAGCTAGCTAGCTAGACGGAAAAGTAGTCGTATTTGGTTTGGGCGTTAATGCGCTCCTGCAGATTTGCGACCCGATGGTACAGCGTGTCCAACTTGGTGCGGCGCAGCACAGAAAGCAGTGCCTCCTGCAGCAGCAGCAGCAGCAGCAGCAGCAGCAGCAGCGGCAGCAGCAGCAGCAGCAGCGGCAGCAGCAGCAGCAGCACCAGCGGCAACGGCAGTAGCAGAAACAGCAGGAGGCGCAGCGGTAGAGGCTGGGGAGCGCAGCGGGCTTGGGAAGCAACAGCAGCAGCGGCAACAACGTAGACTTGGCTACAGCAACAGCAGCAGCAGCAGCAGCAGCAGCAGCAGCAGCAGCGGCAGCAGCAGCAGCAGCCAGTTCTGCCTCACTTGGATTCCTGCTGCCTTCATGTCGAAGCAGTTCGGCTTGTAGTTCGTCAGCGTCTGCACGCAGCAGCCACAGCAGCAGCAGCAGCAGCAGCAGCAGCAGCAGCAGCAGCCACAGCAGCAGGTGCTGAAAAAGCAAATTTACATAAAAGCAAGCGCAAAAAGCTCGTGGAAGCTGTTTAATTATTTAATTAAACGAAACATTTTATTTTATTTGAATTATTTAATTTATTTTCATTTATTCTTCAAATATTTGCAAAAGTTATTTGCTGCTGCACTTCGGGATTCGCAGCAGCAAGTGGACTTCAGTTTTTCATTTCCAAGTCATTTTTTCGGATTTCTTCTTCATTTATGATTCTTTTTCTTTCTAATTATCTAAATTTAACAAATTAAATCAAAATTTGATCTTTTTTTCTTTTTAAATTCCAAATTTTTCAATTTTTGCGAAATTTTGCAGTTGGCGGTGCGCGCGCTACTCAGGTGTACGTACACCTGGCACCTCCGTGCGGGTCTTTTTCAAAACTTTTTGTTCAAATTTTTTCACAATTTAAATTCTTTTTTTCCCTGCTGCAGAGCTTTGCACTTTTGCTGCCACTTTTGCCATTTTGCTGCTCTTTTCTGCGCATTTTTATTCGCGATCAAACCCTTTTCCGATCAGGTGTACATACACCTGGCCGCAGCGCCAGGTGTACGTACACCTGAAGCCGCGCGGCCTGCTGCGGAGATTCGCCCAAAGCGAATTTAATTTAATTTAATTTAATTTATTAAAGCAAATTAAATTAAATTCAATTTATTAAATCAAATTGAATTAAATTAAATTTAATTTATTAAATCAAACTAAATTTAATTTAATATAATTTAATTTAATTTATTAACTTAAATTAAATTTTATCAAATTTAATTTAAAAAAGGTATTGAGTTGAATCGGAAGAGAGAACTTAATTAATGTTAAAGGAGGTTTATAGTTGAATGGGAGATATTCAAAAAAGATATTTAATTGAATTCAAAAAGGATATTCAATTAAGTCAAAAAGAAAAATTAAATTAAATTCAAAAAGGGACTGAATTAAATGGGAGATATTTAATTTTGTCAAAATGAGATAAATTGAATTAAGTCCAAAAAGATATTTAATTGGATCCAACTGATATATTTAATTGAATCGGAAAAGGGCATTTAATTGAATTAAAAAACGAAATTAAATTTAATCCAAAAAATGGATTTAATTAAATCGAAATGAGGCATTTAAACAAATTAAAATCGAAAAATAAATAAGAGGAACTCCTGATGGAGGCAAAAGATAAAACAATAAACTGCAATTTAAAGGTTTTAAATTAAAAGAAAAAAGACAAAAAATAAAATCAAATTATTTAAATAATTAATTCAGTACATTCATATCCTGAAATAGCTTTTATTTATTTACTTGTTCAGCCCTTTAATATTATTTTTAACTTTTCTATTTCCCCCTTACCAACTGTTGCCTTTTATCCATTAATTAATTAATTAATTAATTAATTTATTTATTTATTTATTTGTTCACTTATTTATTATTTATTTGTTTGTTATTAATTAATTGATTAATTTATTTATTTATTTATTATTTGCTCCTGCTGTCGAGACACCTGAGCTCGAAACATCCGCCTCGTCTTTTTGAAAGTCCATTTCCTTCATTTCCCAAAAACAAATTAATTAAATTAAATTAATTAATTAATTAATTAATTGATTATTTATTTATTTATTTATTTATTTATTTATTTATTTATTTATTTGTGTTTGCGATTATTGGGGTGGGTATGGAGGCTTGGCTGCCTCTGCTTGCGGTGTACGTGCAGCTTTCAGGTGTACGTACACCTGAAGCGCATGCAGCGTCGCTGCATGCAAATGGGAGAAACTGGGGGAAATAAAAGGCGAAAAAGGTGAAAAAAAGGCGGAAAATTCGAATTTAAATGTTTTAAAAGTCCAAAACTCACCTGCAGCAGCGAAAGAGCAGCAGCAACAAACTCAACATTGTCGAATTCGAAAAGAGCAGCAGCAAGCGACTTCATGAGGTGTACAGACACCCGGTGCTGCAGCTGCCACCGGCCCCGACAAAGCTGCTTAATGGCAAATAAAATCTGCAAAAAAAAGACATTTTGGGCCTTTTAATTCTTTTTAATTCTATTTTATTTTATTTTATTCTTTTTTATTCTTTTTAGTTCTTATTTTCATCTTTTTTCCTTTATTTCATCTTTTTCCCGAAGTTTTCCACTTCATAGCCAACTTGCTGCTGCTGAAACGCCAGCAGCAGGAAAAATAATAAATAACAAATAAATAAATAAATAAATAAATAAATAAACAATAAATAATAGATAAATAAATAAATAAATAAATAAATAAACAAATAAACAAATAACAAATAAATAAGTAAATAAATAAATAATAAATAATAAATAGTAAATAAATAAAGAATGCGCAATGAAATGAATAGTGAAAAGGAGAGAAAAATAAATGGACAAAAATAAAAAGGAACAAAGAAGTGAATTAAAATAAAATAATTAAATAAAAACCGAAATTCACAAACAAATAATAAAAGAGAAAAGATTAAAATGCAAATATAAGAAGCAAACAAAACAAATAAACTGCTACTGCTGCTGCTGCTGCTGCTACTGCTGCTGCTGCTGCTGCTGCTGCTGCTGCTGCTGCTGCTGCTGCTGCTGCTGCCTCGCCTTTGCTTTAAACTCGGCATCGGCTCCGGAGTTGTGGAATATATACAAAACAAAATCCATCACCGGGTACCTGCCACCGCAAGCAGCACACTGGCTAGCTAGCTAGCTAGCTAGCCAACTAGCTAGCTAGCTAGCCAACTAGCTAGCCAGCTAGCTAACCGGCCTGCTAGCCAGCTAGCTAGCTGGGATATTGGGTGGCCAGCTAGCTACCTAGTTAGTTGGGTTGGTGGCTAGCTAGCTAGCTTCCTGGATGGCTAGCTAGCCGGCTACACAGCTAGCCAGCTGGTGATTGGCTTGGGTTTTCAGCTAGCTGACTGGCTAGCTAGCTAGCTAGCTGATAAGGAGGCAAAGCTCTAAATTGCTGGCTGCAGCAGCTGCTGGCTAGCTGCACAGCTAGCTAGCTGCACAGCTAGCTAGCTGCACAGCTAGCTAGCTGCGCAGCTAGCTAGCGAGAGAGCTTCTAAGTAGCTAAGCAGCTGCATTCTTAGACGAGGTGCGACTTGGCCAGCAGCACAGCTAGCCAGCTAGCCGGCTAGCCAGCTAGCCACTTATCCAGCCAGCTAGCTAGCCAGCTAGCTAGCTAGCTAGCCAGCTAGCTAGCCAGCTAGCTAGCTAGCTAGCCAGCTAGCTGCAGCAGAGAGGCAGCCCGCTGGTTTGAAGCCGAAAAGAAGCGGCCAAAGACCAAAACGCCGATTAAACACTTAAACAACCATTTATTTATTTATTTATTTATTTATTTATTTATTTATTTATTATTTATTTATTTATTTATTTATTTATTTATTTATTTATTTATTTATTAATTTATTAAGTGGCACCTTTCCACCATTTCTGCAAGGGCCATTTCATCGTTGGCTAGCTGCCCCACAACTCCCATTAAGCCCGACAGCAGCGGCCGCCGCTCTGCGAGGTCTGAGGCGTAGTTGTGCTGCAGCAGCAGCAGCAGCAGCAGCAGCAGCGGGGGGTTGCAGCAGCAGCAGCGGCAGCACAGAGTAGCTGCAGCAGCAGCAGCAGCGGAGGGTCGCAGCAGCAGCAGCGCAGAGTAGCAGCTGCGCCTGCCGCGGCAGCAAAGAGTTGCAGCGGCAGCAGCAGCAGCGCAATGTCGCAGTGGTAGCAGCACAGAATAGCAGCAGCAGCAGCAGCAGCAGCAGCAGAGGCAGGCGGAGAATCGCGGCAGCAGCAGCACACGGTAGAGCAGCAGCAGCAGCAGCAAGGGCAGCAGTAGCGGCAGCAGCAAATAAACAGAAGCGGAAGCAGCAGCAGCAGCAGCAATGGTTCTCACAGGAATGCAGCAGCAGCAGCAGCAATAATAGCAGCAACAGTAGCAGCAGCAGCAGCTTGGCAGCAACACCAGCGGCGCCCGCTGGGCAAAGTCCAGGGCCTAGGGTTTAGGGTTTAGGGTTTAGGGTTTA